GGTCTCTGTCTGTCCAAAGACCTGATCTGGATGTCTAAAGGGTCTCTGTCTGTCCACAGACCTGATCTTGGTGTCTAAAGGGTCTCTGTCTGTCCACAGACCTGATCTGGGTGTCTAAAGGGTCTCTGTCTGTCCAAAGACCTGATCTGGATTTCTAAAGGGTCTCTGTCTGTCCAAAGACCTGATCTGGATGTCTAAAGGGTCTCTGTCTGTCCAAAGAGCTGATCTGGATGTCTAAAGGGTCTCTGTCTGTCCAAAGAGCTGATCTGGATGTCTAAAGGGTTTCTGTCTGTCCACAGACCTGATCTGGATGTCTAAAGGGTCTCTGTCCACAGACCTGATCTGGGTGTCTAGGGGATCTTTGTTTGTCCATAGCCCTGATCTGGGTGCCTAGGGGGTCTCAGCTTGGCTTGGAAGAAAGTAAAGGGGGCTTGGAGGACAACATGTTGGGAACCACTGGTCGAAAGGGTCTCTGCTTGTCCTCAGACCTCATCTGGGTGTTTAGGGGACTTAGTCTGTCCACAGACCTGATTTGGAGTGTTTAAAAGGTCTTTATCTGTCCATAGACCTGATTTGGGTGTCTAAGGGATCTTCAGACAGGTTTCATTAAAACAGGAGTGCAARAGACAGCAGAGCTTCTTGACTCCTTAATGAGGACTTTTCTCTGATTCTCCAAAGATATTTGGAAAGGTTCTCCTAAACATTTGACAAGCAGCAATAACTTAACGTTCTCCATGTTCTTTAGGCTCTGCGGGTTTGAGCCRTTCTTTGACCCAAGAGGGGATCAGTACATGTACAGCCGAATCCTCAACTGTGACTATGAGTTTGTGTCGCCGTGGTGGGATGAGGTCTCCCTCAATGCCAAGGATTTGGTGAGTTCTTCCATTGCTTTGATTTTCATATTTGACTTAACTTTGATGCCAACTGAACTATTCAAATGGCAGATTACTTTTARGATTCCTTGTGTTCTTAATTACCTTTAGAAGCAGTGCTTGAAAAGTTTGTACGGTATGAAAAATGTGTCTACTTTGACCATGATGGTCCTCCTGCAGGTCAGTAAGCTGATTGTCCTCGACCCTCGCAAACGCCTCAGTGTCCGGGAGGCCCTGCAGCACCCCTGGGTGCTGGGTAAAGCTGCTCGTTTCTCCCACATGGACACGACCCAGAGGAAACTGCAAGAGTTCAACGCCCGACGCAAACTTAAGGTTCATCTTTCAAGTACAGTCATTACTGTTTTACACATATTCACAGCAAAACGTCTTGGTGCAAATGTCACGGTATGGTGCAGTGTGTGCATTCAGACAAATAAAGCAATCATCACTCATCTAGAAGAGGGCACACATGTTTTATCGCTAACTGCCAGGAAGATACAATGTAAAGCACTCTACACAAAAGCAAAGCAAGAATATCTAGTTTAAGTGAAACACCAGAACTTTCAGCGGTTATCAGTGGTGGGCATAGTCCCACTAATAGCGTAACTAGCTACTCATTTAGCGGATTCACTTTTTTGCTAATTTTGGCAACAGGTAGTAGACAAATTAGCTTCCGTTAAATGAAGTTACGCTAATTTTAAGTTCACTAAAAAAATTCCCGGAGTTAAACTTCTACTGTTTTTTTATGTGTTTTATCCCAAATTAAATATAAATTATCCCCTTACAGGGCCCCAATGATACCAACACAAAGAGGGAAAGAGGGACAAAAACAAGGGGACGTTGAACCCCTGCTTGCATTCACTACATACACATAACATGACCGGTCAGGTGATGGGGCACATGACCCTCTATGAACAATAAATCAAGCCTATACAAATGACTAACCTGTTTGTCCATGTGGAGGCGGAGCTTATAAGGCTGAGTTCACCTGAAACTCATCAGACTGAAGA